AGCCAGGCCAGCGAAAACGCACGTTTGTGTACTCCGCGTCCTCCGCAACATGAATGTAAGCAAATGCGACGAAACTTTATTCCTGGTGATGTAATATCTGGAAGCTCCCATGACTCCTCCTTTTTGTTCGGGGCCCTGCGCCCTAAACCCGAAATGCTGAACCCTCAACCCTAAACCCTAATCTCTAAACCCTAAACCAACCCTAAACCCTCAACCCTGAGCCCTACATCCTAAACCCCAAACCCTAAATCCTCAACCCTAAGCCCTAAGAACTAAACCTTGACCCTAAATCCTGGTTTGAATCATTCCTCCTCCTCTTGGGGATTCTCGGGTGGCAAGAAGTTGCAGGTAAAGAGGATCGCTGCTGCAGCGGCCAGGAAACCTCGACGCTTTTAGGGTTTGGGATTTAGGGGTTTTGGATTCAGTTGGCGAGCAGGGAATGAAGGAATGGAAAAGACAATGGACACTACTATTAATGTTAATTGCTGCGGGGTATCTAAGGCCCACTATGCGAATCCAATCCTTCATTCCTTGCAATCCAGAGCATAGTTTCAAGGGGTTTGAGGTTCAGGTTTTATGGGGGGATATCTATAAATATATATATATATATATGTGGACCGCATAAAAGTTATATGGGGTTTAATGACAGAATAGCAATCAAATGCGTGCCGAACTAAATCTCCTGCATAGCACAGAGGGCATGAGAAAAAGGGTTGGCCCCTATCGGTTATGCGAGGTTGAGAGGGCATCAGTTGAGTAGCGTTTTTTCGGTTGTTGAACCCTATAAGATTATATTCCTTATATAAAATACTATACCCAAAAGGAGGATATAATCTTACTCTATATTGGGTACCATAGTATCCCCAAAGAAAATGCTCAGTTGAAGGTTAGTCCCTATCGGTTTTCAACAGAAATGCAGGGTTTTGACTCTCAGGGCTCAGGGCCAGCCTACACACGTTGCCTCTTGCATGGATTTAGTCCAACACTCAACTGAACATGGCATGGAAAGTGGGATTCGTAGGAAGATATAAGGTTCGAAGTTGGGGTTTCGGGATACGATTGGAATTGTGGAGGCCAAAATTAAAGAAGAAACTGGAGAAGTTTGTGGAAGCTGGATTCACATAGAGGCTACCTGAGCCATGGTCTAAACTCCTAGAATCCCCCTTAATAATCCCTATAATAATTCCCTATATAATCCCCTATATATCCCCCTTTAAGGAGTTTAGACTATAGCTCACCTGGGTTGGAGTAATATCAAAAGCGGTTGAGAGTTTATCAGCCTGGGGGTCTAGTGTTGATACTAAAAACCTACATAACCTTACTATACTACAGGTTAGGATTTTAAACTAGGGTAAACAGAATCAAAGAGCACTCTAAAAGGAGCCCTAGGAGGGTAAGTGCTCTTTGATTTCTTGGGTTTATCTCCCTGTTGTGGTCATAAAATCCTAACCTGCTATACTATAACACCATGATTCCCAAGGTATAAGGCACTTAGGGTCATGCAGTTTCAGTACCCACCTTCAACCCTACACTTTAGATATCCCTACATATCCCTACGTGACCCGATTATCCGCTTAGAGTACTTAGGGTCCTACTGATGTTTAGTTTTCACTGTAGGTTTGAGGGGTCTGATTCCTTTATTCTCTGCCAACCAGAGGTGAGGCAGCCCCTAAACCCTAAATTCCTATGTAGAGAGCCAGAACTTTGGCCTAGGAACCTGCAGCACTCAGCGGGACTGCGGCGAAGCCGTGGCGTTTGAAGATGTGACCGGCGGCCTTTTAGGGTGTAGGTTTAGGGATGAACGTAAAAGGGACAGGTTTCTTTAGGTGGTTCTGACACTACAGTTGGTTTTGAAAGGCCAAGGTACCAATACCATTGGGCATTTCTCCAGATAAGGATCTTCCTTCCGCAGCTGAAATATGGGTTGCTTGTTGCCTTAAGCCACCAACCTGAAAAGGGCCCCGTGGTCTTGAGAGGTGCGGTTCTGTGTGGACGACTAGGGAGCTGCAATTTGGGGAAGTCCGAATAAGCAACAGCGAGAAACTGTTTGTGTGACATCCCTCGCAAGCATTTGGGGGTTGTTCTAGAGGTCCTTGTCAAGGGCCCATCGGGAATACACTTCCTTAAAAGGGGATCCTAACGAAACAGGGAGCCTACATTATGGTCATTTTGGGGACAGGTATTTTGAACAACTACCATTTCCCCAGTTTGCACAGCTGCCCCTGATCCGCTTCCCAATGCCTCTGCCGAGCCCCTACAGAGTGGCAGTGCGCATTCAGTGTGTATGAAGCCTTCCTGCTGTTCCCACAATTACTCGTGACGGACACAGGTTACGGGGAACAGATTCTTCGTTCATATTCATTCGCTCTTGCCAATCCCTAAACCCTTAACCTTAAATCTACGCCCCAACCCCTTAAACCAAAACTCCTAAACCGTGTACACCCAAGACCCGAGTCTCTATATGCGGGTTATAACTTCTGCGTTTTACTGCCTAATTTAGCAGTAATACGAGGAAATCCTCCCCCAAGAAATAGAGAACGGATTCCCAATGTTGACCTAGTCTCTCCAGGGTTCCAGGGTTGTACCCCTAAGGTCGTACCCCTACAAGGTTTCTCTAATATGGCCTTAATATAGCCCTTATATAGTCCCCTAGGGCTCCTTTCAAGGATCCCCAAACCCAGGGATACAACCCTGGGGGTACAAGTCTGAAACCCTTGAGTATCCTCAAGGAAGAAAGCCCTGAGGCTAAACAAGTCTCCCCAAGGTTGGTTTAGGGTTTAGGGTTTAGGGTAAGGTTGTTTGGGGTGCATATTTAACATTGGGGGGTGGGGGGTTGTGGAATACTACTATGGAGGGATTAACACTCGCGTAGCTATGACCCTCCGTCTTCTAACCCCCTCCCCCCAATCCTTCTGGGAATTCCTCATCATGGCTAGGGACCTCAAAAGAAAAACTACACAGGGATTATGAGGAGATTTGGGGGATTTAGGGCTTAGGGTTTAGGGTAAGGTTGTGTGGGGTGCATATTTAACATTGGGGGGTGGGGGTTGTGGAATACTACTATGCAGGGATTCACACTCGCGTAGCTATGACCCTCCGTCTTCTAACCCCCCCCCCAATTCTTCTGGGAATTTCTCATCATGGCTAAGGACCCTAAAAGAAAACCTAAACCCTAAACCCATCTTAACCCTAAGCCCTAAACCCTCAAAAACTTCACAGGGATTATGAGGGGATTTGGGGGTCCCTATTCAGGATCATGGGAGATCATTTTGAGAAAGCCCCGCCTCCATTCGACTTTCCCAAATTCTAAGCACCCGGAAAGAACTCACAAGGAAACTTGCTTAGGGTTTAGGGTTTAGGGTGTAGGGGTTAGGGCCCCAAATCCGAACCTCAGGTAATGTAGAAACCTGAATACGGTCTCCCTCATAATCCCTACCTGATTCTGACGTACTATACCTTCAAAAATCCTTCAACCCCAAACCCTAAGCCCAACCTAGACCCTAAACCCTAATCCCTAAACCTTAAAACCCTAACCCCTAAACCTTAGACCCTAAACCCTCAACCTTAAAACCTCAAACCTAAACCTTAATCCCCCACCCCTAGACCCCAAACCCCAATCCCTCAACCCTAGAATCCCCAACTGAGCTACTGTCTAAACTCCTAGTATCCCCCTTAATAACCCCTATAGTACCTATATAATCCCCTATATAATTGCCCTTTAAGGAGTTTAGACTATAGCTCAACTGAACCCTAAACCCTAAATCCTAAATCCTAAACCCTAAACTAAACCCTAAACCCTAAATCGAAGCCCTAAATCCTAAAGCCATTACGGACAGGCCCGCCTGCACCCCGAGGATGCTGCTCAGCGGCATCGTGGCAACACTAAGTCCGATCACGGTACCCAGCCTTTGGCATTTAGGGGTTGAGGGATTTTAGGGGGTTTGGGATTTAGGGTTTAGGGTTTAGGGTTTGGGTTTGGGTTTGGGATTTAGGATTTAGGGGTTTAAGGTTTAGGATTTGGGGTTGAGGGTTTGGGGTCTTGCTTGGGGTTATTCGGGCTTAGGATTGGATTTCTTGGAGGGTGGGATGGTTTAGGGATGTGGAGTGTAGGATTTCTTGGGGCAGGTGGGATCGTTTTGGCGGGCTTGTCAGGTATAGGGCAGGGGTGTAAGGGACATCTAAACTGTTTCGGGCTTGGGCTTTCAGAGTTGCGGGGTGAGGTTTGGTAGACCCTAAACCCTAAACCCTAAACCCTAACCCAAATCCCTAAACCTGACCCCATGTTAAGAAGTCTTGCTTTAGGGCTTAGGTTGGCATGTATACTCCCCCCAACTAACCGCCCAAATGGTTCCCCCTCCAAGAAAAGCTGTTTTGGGGATGGCTAAGCCTACAAAAAGGCTGTAAAAGGTGAAGCCTGGAGGGATGTAGAGTTAAGGGGTTATATAGGGGTTATATAGGGGTTATATTGGGATAATGGAAAAGAAAATGGAAACTACTATAATGGGGTTTATAGGGGTTATATAAAGGTAGTTTAAGAATAACTGTGCCTAGTTAAGGCTAACTATATAAGGGGAAACCTAGAGGGGGCGTAGTAGGGGAGCCACCCATGATTGCAGGGATTACATGTTGTGCCGCTCTTGAAAAGTTCCCACGGGCTTTCCAGGGAGTATGCAAGGCGTTATGTGCAAAAACGAGCGTATCCTGGGCCCACATGGGCCTTTAGGGTTCAGGGGTTAGGGCTTTGGGCCTAGTACCTTCCCTCCCTGACTTTCTAACTGTTAGGGTTCAGCGCTGAAACTCCTGAACATCGGAAGGCCAAAGGAAGGACTACTTGGAGAGTCAGGGGAACTTCGTAGTAGGTTAATGACCCCTTCAGGCCATATAATAACCCTAGTTATGCTAATTATCAACCTACTTACTGACCCCCCCATGACCCTGCAAGTATTGTTTTGGCATGCCCGACTTTGCCTTCATTACAGACTGTTGTCTCTTCATGGTGCTCTCTCTGTCTATATGCAACAGAACGGCGTATGCATACCACAGTGAGCGTTTCTGAAAACAGAGTGTGTACCCTAGGAACCCTAGGGATCTCTAGGAATTCTAAGAAGATTGTGTGGGGGGTCTTCGCTAGGGATTGTACGTGGATCACTTTGAGAAGTACCCAAGTAGGACAACGTTGAATACCCCTCGTAGGGCAGAAACCCGAATCACGGAGCACACAAGTTTCTCCTGCAAGTAGCTTTGAGAATGGGAGTATCCATCTCCATAAGTTCTCCTTGTACCTTCAAGGCCCCCAAAACTCTTGATGGATAGGTCCCCTTACAGCACAGTGAGAGACATGAATGATTATCCCGAAGTACCACCTCGTCATCGCAGTTCCCAACTGACAGAAGGACCCTCCGACTTGCATTCCGTACTCTTTGCATTGCACCGGCCCAGTTTAAGTTCAGAATGTAGGGTGTGTAGTCCCCCTTAAGTAGATAGTATGGCTTTGGGTATATTAAAGTAAGATCCCCATATACCCAACATTCTATCTACTTGAGGGGACTATAGGGTATCTGGTTCAGGGTTTGGGGTGTAGGGTATCTGCAGCACATCATTCCCGTCGTCCTGTCCTGTATCTGAATTCTCAGGCCATCCCACTTCAACGCTCATAAGCACATAGATCTAAAACCGTTTGTAACCCCTAAAAAACCTCCTGGTTTGGGTATTTGGGCGCTCCATAGTCGAGGATAACCTGTTGAATCCAGAATGCACCCTGTCCACCATGATAAGGATCCCACCCCATCTGAAAAGACGGCCGACGCGTACAATGAATGCGCTCTTTAAAACGAGCCTTCTTTTAGGGTTCCGAAAAGGGCGTACATGTTGGGGAGTGTTAGCTGCTCGAAACTACCGTTGTTGGTGCTTCTACTTTGGTGATAAAATGCTATCTGAATCCCAAACCCTAAACCCCAAACCCTAAACCCCAAACCCTAAAGCCTGAATCCCAAACCCCAAACCCCAAACCCTCAACAAGGGACATCGCTCAAGGGACTCAGACTGCGGGACGTAGAAAGTTAAGAGAGAGCCCAGCGCGGTGTTGGCCGAATGGAAGCTCAGAACCCTTGGGTTTCGGGGTTTAGGGGTTTAGGGATTTAGAGGTTTAGGGGTTTGGGGTTTAGAGGTTTAGGGGTTTAGGGCGCAGGGTTTGGGTGGAAGCTCCAAGTTATAGGGTAACATGTAGATATGCTGTAGGGATTTAAAAGTAGCTAAAATAATAGCCCAAAATACCTCCATATAGCCCAAAAGGCCATTATTCTGCATACCTCTGGGCTTCAGGTGAAGTACCCTAAACCCTAAACCCGTAAACCCTAAACCCCTAAACCCTCTGTAGGATTTAGGGCTTGACCATAAGGTGGAAGCTCAAAGTCCTGGAGGGCTGGGCATTGTCTCGCTGGTGGCTTGGGCTTTTGGGGCTTCGGTTTTCTGGGGTCCACGGGTGTCGATGCTAAAATTGGGGGTCTTAGGGGCACACTGGTTTCAACTTGAAACATTCTGTTGAAGAGTTGCCCGTTTACGAAGAGGAAGCCCAAAACTCTCAACCCTAAATCCTAAACCCTAGAAGCTAAACACTAAATCCGAAACCCTTAACCCTACATCCTAAAGCCCAACGAGTCGTTTCTGGCTTGGGATCAAACCCTTTCAAAGCTCAAATCTCAGAGGCTCAATTCACGGGCTTAGGGTTTGGGCTTAGGCTTGAGGGTTTAGGGCAAACCTTGCACCTCTGCTTCTAAACCCTAAACCTCCCTGCACAGAACCCTGAACCCTAAATCCGCCCTAACACCCACTGCCGCCAGCCTACGACAGTCCCCAGATGATAAGAAGATGACTCCGGGCATGTATGTCAGTTCATAGTGTTAGCGTTTAGGGCTTAGGGTTACCGACCCAAAATGAAACCGTCTGCCCCTACCCCCTTGGAAGGGCCTCCTAGACGCCTAAACACGTAGCCCACCGAGGCACAGCGGTGCAAGCCAGAGAACCAGCCCATGCTTGGATAGAGGCATCCTCAGGCTTCGATAAACCTCTCTCTTCAGAATATGGGTAGCTATTTGGAACCCCAAACCCTAAACCTCTTAAACCAGGGACCCCTTAACCACCCTAAGGTTATGAAGGGAAAATAGCCAGCGGGGATCACGCGGGTATCCTTACAAGGGATTATGTTGGGATTCCTTTGGCAGGTGCTTACAAGAGCCCTAAGGCGGATGTACAGGGCTTAGAGCCTAGGTTTCAGGGTGACTGGATGAAAGCCTGCACCACTCAGTTTAGGTTTTAGGCTTGGGATTTAGGATTTGGGCTTTATAGGGTTTAGGGGGTTTCAGGTCCTGCGGGCCGACGAATTGAAATGGGGTTGCATGTATATCCTGTATGAAGCCTTAAACCCCTAAACCCTAAACCCTAAACCCCTAAACCCTAAACCCTAAACCCAAAACCCTAAAACCCCTAAACCCTTAACCCTACGGCCTGTATGAAGTCGATAGGGCCATCCTCGTGTTGTTGTTCGCATCTTCCTGTTGAGTATTCAGGCTCTTGCATTAGGTTTTAGGTCATCAAGAATGTCAGGATTTAAGGTTTGGGCGTTGGGGCTTGGGTGAATGTTGCGATTTGGGGTATAAGTACAGGGGTGTGGGCATTGAAGATCTCGAAGTTTTGGTCTTCGCCAGAGACGTAGCTCAAGCTGGCACACAAACCTAGACCTAAAACCCAGAAACCCCAGGCCTCTCTCTCTCTCTCGCTCTCTCTCTCTCTCTCTAAGACTCAAACTCAAAACTCACAACCCTAAACCCCACACTCTAAACTCTAAGTCCTATACCTGCCGCCCAACATGTAGCCGCGGATCTGTTTCTCCACCAAAAACTGTTCCGCCCAAACCCTAAACCCTAAGGGCTTCGACTCTTGGATGCTGAGCATCAGTCCGAGCCCTAGCAGGCTGCCACCGACAGTCGCCTCGAAGGGGAAAGATGGTCGAGAGGGTTTAGGGATGAGCGTTTACTGCCATTACTTCGGGATTGAGGGGTGGCATTTTGGTTCTGACATTTTCAATTTTTGAGGTTACGGGAAGTTTGAAACCCCTAAGTAATGGTATATGGGCTTGAGGGTTGAGGGTTTGGAGTTTGGGGTTTAGGGTGGGGAACGTTCATGGGACTTAGTATCGACTCATAACGAAGGTTATAACCCGGCGTATACCTAGGGTCACCCCCACGAGGCCATTTTTCAGTGCATGATAAGTAGGGCTATAAGCCAAGGTAAAGGTTGTTACTACATCGCGTGAACCTGAAAGTTCTGACTGTTATTACTATTGCTATTATCCTTACTGTTACTAGTTAGATATTCGTGTTATTGTTAATATTGATTCGGGTTTAGGGTTTAAGGTCTAGGGTTTAGGATGTAGTTTGGGGTTTGTGGCTTTGCGCCTCGCATTTTAGTTTTAAGGTTTAAGGCTTAGGGTTTCAGGTGTGGGGCTTAGGGCTTTAAAGTGGCACTTTGGGGAATCCTGAAGGAATAAGGTTTAAGAGGGGCGCAGGGAGCTTCAAGCCTACTTGGAGGGCCAGGGTCATAGATTTACCCTAGTTATCCCAATTATTCACTGACTTACTACGTCCCCATGACCCTCCAAGTATAAGTTGCAGGGCCAGTATGTGCGTATCATTTTTTACTTCCCCTGAACCCCACACGAGAACAGCCTAAGGCCCAAGCCAGCACAATCCCAAAACCTGCCCCCTCAACACACCCTAAATGGAAGCTTCCAAAAATTAGGGCACCCTTGTTGGAGCTACCTATCATGAGGACTACAGTAGATTTAGGTATATGAGCCATGGTCTACACTCCTGATATCCCCCTCAACAACCCTTATAGTAGTTCACTATATACTCCCCTATATAGCTCCCACTTCAGGAGTTTAGATATAAGGGCCTCCTAACCCTAAACCCCAACCAATCATGGAAACTGACAGAAGTCCTACTCCTGTCATCCCAGCCGCTGCCGACGTAGCGTAGAGTTCCCAAGGTGCCACGGATGCAGGAACCAGGGATTGCGAGGCGATCTGAAGGAGGCCTACCTTGGTCTTGGTGGAGTTCTTGGGTTTAGGGTTTAGGGTTTAGGATGTAGGGTTTAGGGTTCAGGGTTCAGGGTTTAGGCTTCAGGGTTCAGGGTTTAGGGTTCAGGGTGTAGGGTTTCGGGATCATGGCCGGAGAATCAAATGGGAAATGGAACGGAAATCTTCCGTCCCTTTAAAGGCACGACAGGGAAATGTGACAGTTGTATAAGGTTTCGGGATCAATGGAGAATCAAATGGAAAAGAACACGGAACATGGCACTATATAGGGGTCATAGGGCTTACTTACAGATGCTTAAGGGGGAGTGGGGGAGTGCGTACATGAACAGTTCAAGGCCACTATACAGGGAATGTGCTGTCGGATTTTCGGGGTTGGGCCGAGGGTCGCTTGTATAACCCCCCTTAAGCAGTTTAGATTCCATTTTCTTATCCAGTATCCCAATATAACCCCAATCCTAAACCCAACTAATACCTATAGTTTCCATGTTCTTTTCCATTATCCCCAATATAACCCTATAATATTATTGCTCAAATAAGGATTCTTCAAGGGCACAGGTCGCCCATAGGCCTCTAGTGCGGAGGTAGGAAAGGAGTGTTGCTGAGGCGACAAAACAAAATCCTGCACTACCCTAATTAGGTACCCGAATTCCTTGGAATTGCAAATAGTCCAGCTGCAAGATTTCATCCAGATGCTGTATGAGAGGAATTCTGCAGTAGGGTTGAAGGTCTAGGGTTAGGGCTTGGGGACCCTAAACCCTAAACCCTAAATCCATGCTTGGTGGAGGAACCCGAGGTACAGCTACGGTGTAGGGTTTAGGTTTTAGGGCTGTTCAGGGATTAGGGTTTAGGCTATTGGGTTTTGGGGGGTTTAGGCGTTTACGGCTGAGGGATCCTGTACGCACACTGTGGATACTAGAAATCGTGCATGACCACAAGTACCCTGAACCTTGGGCATGAGTGTAATATAATATACTAAGGTCATGCAGGATGTTTAGTATCAGCGGTGACCCTACACAACCCCATATGACCCTAGCTTCCATTTCATGTTCCATGTTCTTGTCCATTTGATTCTCCATTATCCGGATGATGTCCCTAAGCCCAAATCCCTAGACCCTAGAGTAACACCAGTGGCTTCGTATTTTACCCCATCTGGGAGGGGTTCTAGGCTTCAGGGCTCGGTGCTGCCGTGGATCATAGGGTGGAGGGTGATGGGTTGAGGGTTAAAGGTTGAGGGCTTAGGGTTGAGCAGCATGGGGACTTAGTAAGTAGCTTAATACTGGGGATACCTGGGGGTACTATACAGGCTAAGAATGTGTTTACTTTGTACCCCTGCCCGTCCAAGTGCGGACTGAGGGTTATCGTAGGAGTTGCTTGAAAAACTAGCTGGAAATGCGTATTGGAGTACTAGAACCCCAGGGCCCCAGCTGCCTACCGCTTTTAGGGTTATACGTACTACCTAAACCCTAAACCCTAAGTGAAGGGTAATTGGGACCAAGCTGTAGGTCTTTGGGGCAACTAGCAATCTAGGACTCAACTACGGCGGTAGACTAGTAGATTGGAGAAATACGCACCAATTCTCAAATCCCGAACCGCTTACAGTAGTCTCGGATCCCCAGAAACCTAGGACTAAAAAGTCACCGCTTTTGAAAATAGCAACCCTAAACCCTAAACCCAAAAAAAGCTTACTCAACACCCCTGTGGTGTTTAGGATTTAGAGACCCCTCCTGCCAACCCAGCAGCCCCTTCTAGGCAACGAAATGCGTGGCTCAGGGCTTAGGGTTTAGGATTTAGGGTTTAGGGGTTAGGGGTTTTAGGGTTAAGGGGTCTTGGGGTTTAGGGGTTTAGGGTTTAGGGTTTAGGGGTTTAGGGTTTAGGATTTAGGGCGGGGCGTTTAGGCTTTAGGGTTTAGAGTCTATCTATCCATGGCCAGACAACCCGAACATACAGACAACGTCCTACGTTCATTGCGCCCACGTGCTCCCGATGGCTTCCTGCAAGAAAAGCACCCCAGAAGATCTTCGTTTAGGTTGAAGCTCTTATCCGGGCTTAACCCTATATTTTTGAGGTCTATATATAGTCTACTTAAGGTGCCCTATGCCATGTCTATACAAGAAACCTAGAACCATGATATTGGTCGTTATTTAGGCTTGAAAACCCAAACCCTGAAGCCTAAAGCCTGAAGCCTCAGCTGTGATTTGGGGCTGCAGGCTTTGTGGTTTTAAGCCATTCCATAGATCTCGACATTAAGATTTGAAAGCTGATCTAAATGGACACTTATGGCGACCCCAAACAGGGAACCCCAAGACTGTAGTAGAAATATAGGTATGAGGACCCCGGCAAGTATGTTCCTAGCACTTTCCTGCTATATTCTTGGGGGGCGTTCCCATTTTTGGTGTCCTTTCAAAATCCGCTCCCTTGATGAGAACCCCCCCCCCCCACCCCTATGTACTAATCAACAGCCCCAATATAATAACAATGATAATACATTAAGCGGAAGAGGAACATGTATTATCGGGGGTTGGTTTTCAGGGGTTGGTTTTTTTGGGGGGGAGGGGATTACTGCAACCCTCAACCTTAAACCCAACCTCACATCCGGCCATCTTTCAAAAAGACGATCCCTCCGACACTACCAATTCTTACGATCCGGATCCCGACTTTGGGCCCTGGGCACTGGATTGTCAATCACAGCTCCCTAAACAAGGTTTGGGGTAACTCTGACCCCAAACCCCTAAACCCAAAACCCTATAGCTCAGATCCCTGCACCCTAAATCCCAAAGCCCAATCCCCCACCCTAAAACCCAAACCGCAATCCCTAAGCCCTAAACCCTAAACCCTAAACCCCCTAACCCTAATCCCTATATCCCCCCTTTAAGGGTACCCCTAATTTTGGTCTCAGAAGCCCAGTTGCATAAGCCATTAGCATGGCCACCTCTGAGGCTTGGAAGCCAAACGG